TTGGCTACATCTGTAATTTAAAATATATATATAACAAACATGTAATACCTACCTGCTCTGTGCAAGGGTTTTGAACAGAGAAGCCCCGATCCACTTCTTTTTATGGTCCCCCGCCGTTAGTCCTGGCTCTTTCCCCCTCAAGTGCCCCCAACAGTAAGCCTCTTGCTATGGGGGCACCCGAGCAGGCTCACTCCTGTGAATGGAGTAGCCACGCTCCTGTGAATGGAGCCCTCCCCCCACTCTCTCCTCATTGGCTCACTGGCTGTGATTGACAGCAGCAGGAGCCAATGCATTAAGGTAACAACTTCTGCCTTTAAAACCACTTTAAATGGTTTGTCTCATCCCTATAACAGATACTTTCTGCTGAAGAGCTTGTTTTAAAAAAAAAAACAAACAATAGACTTATTGGCTGGATCACCAGATGAAAATAGAAGAAAGAAGGCCTAAAAAATAAAACGAATGCAGCCATCACATCTTAGACTCCATGTACACGGGACATTTGGAAAACACTTCTTAACGTTGGAAAGTGACTGCTGGAAAACGTAGGTTTAAAAAACATCTGTTTAGCTGAGTTTGCATAACGCGTTTATGTGCGTTTATGAGCGTTTGCGTTTAGAAGCGTTTTTTTAAAGATAACCTCAGGAGTCCTTCCAAAATGCCCAGAATGCACTGAAAAATAGTAAAAAATTAACTATTTCAGACATTTTGAGAGAAATAGAGAGAACAGAAGCAGAGAAAGTAGTATGTGTTGAGATGACCTGTCTTTTCTGGTTGTATTCACTATGGATCCCATCATGAGCATAATGCGGCGCGTTCTACCATTTTTTCCTTCACGCAAAACCTGGAACTGACTGCGCTGGTGTACCAGGCCCATTTGAATACATGGAAAACGCTTTGCATGCATTTCTGATGATGAAAAAAGGCTCTGAACAGCTGGATATGGAACAGCTAAAAAACGCTTAAAAACACTAATGCTTATAAACGCGGTTAGCCACATTTTCATGTGTTTACAAGCGTTTACAAGCATTTGGCGTTTGAAACGCTGATAAAATTTACTCCTGAACGCAAGTTTGGTGCGTTTAAAAAAATGACTGTAAACTCAATTGCCTGTAAATGACTGTAAACGACATAGTGTGCATGAACACATAGGAAAACATTAGGGAGAGTTCAGGGTTCAGGGGCTGCTGGAAAAAAATGCAGAAAAACTCCTAAACGTGAGTTTATCACCTGCCGTGTACATAAGCCCTAAGAATTGGTAAGTTACAATATAAAAAAATTTTGGCTTTTGGGTTTAATACGGCTTTAATATCCTGCTCACATTATCACCAATTCCCTTTAACCACCTCCCGTCCGGCCGTTGTATATAAATGGCTGGACGGTGGCAGTGCAGGGTCAGGTGGCCGTTTATAAACGGCATCCCCGCACCCTGCTTGTGCGTGCTCCCTGGGAGCGCGCAGCACCGCGAACCGGTGCCCACTTTGTCCTCCGGACACAGTGAAACACCGATTGTCGTACGGGACCTCTGTGTGAGGTCCCGATTATGTGATCACTGATTGGCCAATCAGTGATCACATGCAGAGTAGTAAGCAAGATGTCACTTCTGACATCATTGCTTACTACGTGTGAAACCTGCTAATGATCACAGAGGTCACATGGTACCAGGCCAGGGGCGGACTGACAACTCATGGGGCCCCTGGGCAATAGGGGATCATGGGGCCCCTGTGTCCTTGCCCAAACTCAAAAAAGCCTATAAAAAAGGTACCAGGGGCATCTCATGGGGCCCCCTACTGACCGCGGGCCCTCAGGCAGTGCCCGAGTTTCCAAATGGTCAGTCCGCCCCTGTACAAGGCTATTCACAACAGCCTTGTACCATGTGACAAGCTGTGACCAATCACAGCTCACACAGTATTTCTCAATAGCTGCAAGAATGCAGCCAAAGAGAAGGAGAAATGATTGCTTTTACAGCCTTTATGGGTGTAAGAGCAATCAGTGTAAAAAAAAAAATCTTCATCACCCCCCACAAGTAGTACGGTGTCACCATGGTGACACTGTACTGTTAGGGTGACAGTATGTAAAAAAAACAAGAGGAATCTAAAAAATTAAAATAAAATGTTAAAAAAAAATTTAAAAAATTATAATTTTTGGTTATAAACTAATTTTGGTTATTTTATTTTACTAAAAAAATAACTGAATAAATTTTGGCCAAGATTTATGATGAAATATTATTAATTTGCAAAAATTTGTAAGAAAAACACTTTTTAAAAAATTTTTTTGGACTTTTCATTTAAATAGCAAAAAAAAATAAAAATCCCAGTGGTAAATAAATACCACCAAAATAAAGCTTTATCTGTCTCAAAAAAATGCTAAAACATTCATACAGGTACAGTGTTGCATGACTCAACTGTCATTCAAAGTGTGACAGCACTGAAAGCTGAAAAATGGCCTGGGCAGGAAGGGGGTAAAAGTGTCCAGACTTGCATGCTCCAACTGTCATTCAAAGTGGACAGCAATGAAAAGCTGAAAAATGGCCTGGGCAGGAAGGGGGTAAAAAAGTGATTAACCTCCCTGGCGGTATTCCCGAGTGTAGCTTAGGGTAAAGTTTCAGTACCACACAAGCGGTAACCCCGAGCTACACTCGGGAATACCATGTGGCGCTGCTGCGCATTTCCTCGATCACTTACCTTGTCCTGCACTCCCGCGATGTACCTCCTGCAGTGTCCCCGGCAATGTAATCCGGCAAATGTCGGCATCTGTCATCTGGGTTCCGTCCCCTGCCAGCGTCGGGACGTACGGGGAACGGAACTGGCGGGAAATTTGAAAATGACAAAAAGTGATATTCACTAAAATCACTAAAATCACATAGTAAAACATTACTGTATCAAACCATTTCACATACATTTTGTCCCGAGTGCTTTGTCCTGTGCCCTGCCTGCATTTTTACTGTTCTTATTGCCTGGAAACTGAGAAACGTCCATGACGTCCAAAAAGCGTCCCTGTAGGTCAAAAGCCGTTTTAGAGCAGCTAGAGAACAGTGATAGTAAATTAGAACCACTTGCAGAATTGAGTGATAATGATTTGTGGGGAAATTCGTCATCAGACACTGAAAACAATTTTGCGACTTTGCTCAGTGATGTGCGAACTTGGCGCTATATTTCAAATTTCAGTGTTTTTGGTTTGATTAAATTATTGAATTAAATTTATTATTATTATATTATTATTTTTTTATGATTGATTATTAAATTATAATTTATGATTTCGTGTTTCAAGTTTTATCCTACCCGGGATGTTTACTAGACTCTTGTTCGGACAGATTTCAGTGAGTTATTCCTAAGAATTACAGGCCTACAATATAAAATGCCAAATTTCCATGCAAAATAATGGTACCGCTTTCAGCACCAAAAATCTGAAATAATCATACCGTCAGGGAGGTTAAGTCTATTACTGTGCCTAGAGTCCCAAGCCAGATATGCATAAGCGTACAAAAAGGTTTATTGGCAGAATTAAAGTGTTACTAAACCCAGGCCCCTGCATTCACTATATCTGGTCTCCCACAGTACACAGAACAAGGAAGTGCAATTTATTTTAGTAAATATAAACCACTAAATACCTTTTCTCATCAGCAGTTAGGTTAGTTTCACATCTGTGTGGGTGGTACCGCTGCGGATCCGCACGAAAAATCCGTGCAGCCGCACCACCCACTCAGAGAAATGCGGACCCGTGGGCAATTGCCATTACTTCTAATTGCACGCTGCCCGCACTAGAAAACGCAACTGTACTGTGAACCAAGGTTCCCGTGCTGGGTTGCATTTTCAAAAGAAATGCAGGGACTTCTTCCCTGCGTGTCACAGGCACGGGAGTCCATTCAAATGAATGGGCTCTCGTGCCCGTGCAAAATGCGGCCCTCATGGCCACATATATGTAAACCAGGGCTTAGAGCAGTCTTGTGACTTCTATCAGTGCCCAGTAGAGCACTGGTTAAAGCTTGTAGGAGGAGTTTTATTTCTGCTCTAAGAGGATGCAGGACCCCTGACCCTCTGTCTGGACATGCACTCTCCCAAGGAAAAAAAAAACTCTCTAGCAATACACACCATACTCAACATGTGCAGTGTCCCCGAGGCTCTGCTCTATCGGAAGAAGAAACGGGGAACGCCTTGTGCTGATCACATGCACTCTCCCAAGAAAAAAAACGAAAACTCTAGCAATACACACCAAACTGGGCATGTGCAGAGTGACTCCACAAAATATGTCTTATCGGGAGATAAGAGGGGGCACTAGAATTCAGGATCAAACAGCCTTTTTACACAATGCAGAGGATTAACCCCTTAGGTTCCCCAGTGAGTATAACAAGCATGCTTTCCTGCATCTACAGGCTGATTTTACTGCTGTGGGTTTAGTAACACTTTAAGCAATCACAGAGTTACGTGTAAGCATTTCACACACATATCACATTCACCTTTAGAAACCTTAGCATATCTGTGAGGCATTCCTGCTGCATCGTCCAGGATTACTGGCTCACTGAGCAAGCATATGTCTAAATAATACCTGGAGGGTTTGTTCTTTGTCAGTGTGAACGTTACAGTGGGAACCTTGCATGACAACTGTGTAGCACATCTAAGCAGAAAGCACACCTGTCTTCTATATAATGAGTAATTGTGGTTGTCCCTTGTGAGTTCAGCCGAATCCAACTCTTCATGATCTTAGTGACTTAGGCCTGTTTGTAAACCTTGTTTCTGTATTCCCACAACAATGTTTATTTCTTCGGTGACAGTTTCCATTTATACTCTAGATCAGGGATGCCCAACCTGCGGCCAAAAATGTCTATGAATGCGGCCCAACACAAAATCGTAAACTTACTTAACCACTTCCAGACCGGCTCATATACATAAACGGCCGGACGGGGGCAGTGCTGAAGCAGGTCGCCGTTTATAAACAGCTCCCGCATTCACTGCCTGTGCGCGCTCCCTCCCTCTGTGTGAGGTTCCGATTCATGTAATCCCTGATTGGCCAATCAGTAATCACATAAATAGTAGTAAGCAGGGGCGGACTGACCATTTGGAAACTCGGCACTGCCCGAGGGCCCGGGGTCAGTAGGGAGCCCCATGAGATGCCCCTGGTACCTTTTTTATAGGCTTTTTTTAGTTTGGGCAAGGACGCAGGGGCCCCATGATCCCCTATTGCCTGGGGGCCCCATCAGTTGTCAGTCCACCCCTGGTAGTAAGCTATTCACAACAGCCTTGTACCATGTGACAAGCTGTGACCAATCACAGCTCTCACAGTATTTCTCAATGGCTGCAGGAATGCAGTTTTGGAAACATTCTGGACATTTTTTAACATGTCCCTGTACAGTATTTATGCCTTTAAAGTGCACTTTATGAAGAGTTTTGAACAGATAAGACTTTTTTTTTAACTTTTTTTCTGACCTTCAGAACGGATTCATTGGTTTTCAATGCATTTCTATGGGAAACAGCATTTCGGTTTACAAATGTTTTGCAATACAAAACAAGAACGCATTAAATTCATAAAACAGGTATGCCTGTAGTATGGTTGCCCTAGCCGGGGGGAAGGGGTTAATGTCTTTTTGCCGCCATTCTCGGTCTAAGTTTGTGGGCTTTTTTTGTCCTACTCCCTGGTCCTGTGTTGATATAAAAGAGACAGGGTCCCAGGTCCCGGTGTGTGTGTGAGCCTGCTCGAAGTTGAGGTCTTGCAGCCTTGACCTTCTGTTGGGAGGGTCTGGTGCTGAACTCTGCAACCACCACCATGTAGTGGTACTGCTGGGACATGCACCATCATTATAGATACCATCATCATGAACGCTGCCAGAAATGGACTCTCAACCTGTGCAGGTATGCTGGGACAGCCACAACTACAGTTAGGGTTAGTTAGGGAAAAGACTTCTTGTTCTGTTGAACTGTTGCACTAAAGTTTTACAGTCAAATCCTGAAATGCTGCTTTGCCCAGTCTGAAGTTATTCTAAAGGGATGTATGAAAGTAAACGACACATTACATTTAGTCTGCTACAGCTTGGATCAGTTAAAGCACATTGGGATATGAAGAAAGCACTGCAGAAGTTAACATGGTGTGGAGTATAGCAAGTCATTGCCAAGAGGAACAGAAGTCAACTAACCTTTACAAGCAGCCTGTCGTAAAGCGTGGTGCCTGTGTCAAGAGAGACATACTCCGATACAGGGGCAAACTGACCATTTGGAAACTTGGGCACTGCCCGAGGGCCCGGGGTCAGTAGGGGGTCCCATGAGATGCCTCTGGTACCTTTTTCATAGACTTTTTTGAGTTTGGGCAAGGACACTGGGGCCCTATAAGGGTGTTGCCTCTGGGACTCCCTCCCCTAGTGGTCCGTCTCTCATAGCAGCGGGAGCAGATCAGCGTCACCGAAGCCTTCAACCTGGCTGCCAGGTACGGGAGAGGAAGAAGACAAAGTGCATGCATGAGGTCCTCACTAGGTTCATGGCTGGACCCCATTGGAGGACAGTCCTAAGTTGAATTTCCCTGACAACGGTTCCTGCCTTGTCTTGGGGCATTGATAAGCACAACACAGCAAGGGTACCCCATGTGCAGTGTGAGTGACCCTGCCCATAGTACCTAATGTAGCCCAGAAAACCCCAATAACCTCCCTCTGTCCCCCACAAGCAGACAGCACCGCAGTGAAATCACCAAATCTCACTCCAACTCTTGTGAAATTATTATTCAGAGGCAGACGTGTCTTGGAATCTATAGATATACAGCTATGAGGTGAGAGCCTAGGTTCACTCACATATGAGGAATTGCACTGCTTTTGCACAGTCAACATTTCTCAATCCACTTTAAACAACTAAGGAAGGGAAGGGGAGCACTAGTTTCTTCTAGCCAGCTTTCTATATAAAAATACAATGCTTTGCGAATTTATTCACTCCAAGTGTTTTTTCTGCTTTGTTGCATTACAACCTTGAATTAAAATGGATTTGTTGGGGCTTTGTACCATGTGATGTACACATGTCTATGACTTTGAAAGTGCAAAATATTTTTAATTGTAAAACAAACGATAATTAATCTGTTGCCACCGGCTAAGCGCATATATGCAAAGGGTGAGTTTAACTCTCAGCCACCGTACATATGTGTCCATGGGGAATGGCTTATCTGTGCTGAGAGCACACTCACTACCTGCCACCACCTCAGGCATTTAGTTTCTCTTCTTAAAGAAGGGGGAGGCAGCGTCAGAAAAGGATTAAGATTAAAAAAAATCAGAAATCTAGAGTATGCATGTATATTCACCCCCTTTGCTATGAAATCCCTAAATAAGATGGTGCTTCAAACAAATAACGTCAGTAGTCCCATAAATGGATGATTACGTAAGTTCCACCTGTGTGTAATCAGAGTGTCAAATGATTTGTCACATGATATCAGTAAAAATACAATACATTTGTTAGGAAAGGCCCTTAAGTCTGCAATACCAATAACCAAGCAACATAAGGACCAAGGAGTTCTCCAAACAGGTCAGAGAAATAATAATTATTGATCAGGATTGAGTTTGAAAAAAAATCCCACTAGGCCTCCCATCAACATGGCACCACTACAAATCTGACAAGGCCACCTACCAAAACTCAGACCGTGTGAAGGGCATTATTCAGAGATGCAAGAAAAACACTATAAGAGCTGCAAAGCTCCTCAGTGGAGATGGGAGTATCATCCATAGGACCGCTTTAAGTCATACAAGCCACAGAGGTGAGCTTTATGGACGAGTGACCAGAAAAAGCCAATGCTTAAAAAAAATCAGAAAATGCTTTTGGAGTTTGTCAACTAGAACATGGGAGACCCCAAAAACAAATGGAGGTGCTCTGGTCAGATCAGCCTAATATTGAACTTTCAGGTCATAATCGGAAATGCTATGTGTGGAGCAAAGCCAACACTTCCCATAACCCTAAGAACACCATCCTCACAGTGAAGCATGTTGGTGGCAATATCATGTTGTTGGGGTACTTTTCATTGGTAGGCACTGGAAAACTGGTCAAGACTGAAGGAAACACCTTCAATTGCGGCATTGGCTGATCTCACTGCAGGGCACTTCCGCTTTCCCATACCAGAAATCTGCCTTTGAACTGCTTTGTCAACAGCGTCCGGACGCCACGGGTCTTATTTCCCTTCATTATGCAGCTTTGAACAGACGCACAATGCATACTTCTCTTTCATATGTTGTTCAGTGGGAGCGTGTCCTGGGGGCATTTGTGGATCTGGAGGACTGGAATAGGGCCTGGTCGCTTATAGCTAAATGTTCATTTAATACGACCACGCTGGAGGCGGCATACAAAGTATTGTTTCGTTGGTATTGGGTTCCGGCTTATTTGGCCCAGGCGAACTCTGCCTGCAGTGATCGATGCTTTCGGGGTTGTGGCCATCGGGATGATGTATTGCATATCTGGTGGTCATGCCCGAGACTGTTTCGTTTTTGGACTCCATACGCTCGGTATTCTTTGCTTCATTGTCCCATACCGGGCCTCTTGGATCATCAGAAGAAGTTGGCTTCCTATTTGTTTTTGTCGGCCACCAGAATAAATGCTCAGGCCTGGAAGAGCCCGTTTGTCCCTCTTCAGGGGGGTGCGGGACCACTATGATGGTCAATGAACAGATGTTGAGTATCTGCAATGACTCCCAACATAAATTCTTGAAAATATGGGAGCCATGGTTGCAATATGCCTTTCCCATGCTCCCCCCGGCTAGTCTAGGGATGTGTTGTTGTTCGGTATTGGCGTTCTCGGACCCCTGCTCTTGGTTTTGTTATCTTTTTTCTTTTGTAGAGCTCCTTCCTTTTCTTTTTTTGTTTTTTTTTTGGTGTGGCAGTGGATAGCTGCCTTTAGTTTGAGTTACTGTCATACTAATGTTTTTGTAATTTAAGTGCCATTGATAGACCCTGCGTGGGCGCACCTTTTGCTCTGCACTGTTTTTTCTAATTTTTTATGTGCAATTGATAGCCCCTGTGTGGATTTGTTGCTCCTGTGTTAAACTGTTTAAAAATTATTAAAAACTATTGAAATACAAAACTGAAGAAAAAATGTATGGTATTAAATAAACAGCAAATCACGAAGAAAACCTGTTTCAGTCTGCCAAAGATTTGAAACTGGCACAGAGGTTCACCTTCTGGCAGCACAATGACCCTTAACATACTGCTAAAGATACACTGGAGTGGTTTAATTGAAAATAGTTAACCTCCTCCGCGGTCTGATTATTTCCGATTTTTTGTGCTGAAAGCTAGGCTTGGTACCATTTTTTTGCATGGAAATATGTAATTTTTAATTGTAGGCTGTAATTTTTAGGAATAACTCACTGAAATCTGTACAAGAGTCTAGTAAACATCCCGGGTAGGATGAAATTTGAAACACGAAATCATAAATTATAATTTAATAAATAATCATAATAAATAATAATATAATAATAATAAATTTAATTCAATAACATAATCAAACCAAAAACACTGAAATTTGAAATACAGAGGCAAATTCGCACATCGCTGAGCAAAGTCGCAAAATCGTTTTCAGTGTCTGATGACGAATTTCCCCACGAATCATTATCACTCAATTCTGCAAGTGGTTCTGATTTACTATCGCTGTTCTCTAGCTGGTCTAAAACCGCTTTTGACGTAAAGGGATGCTTTTTGGACGCCATGGACTTTTCTAAGTTTCCAGGCAGAAAGAACAGTCAAAATGCAGGCAGGGCACAGGACAAAGCAGTAGGGACAAAATGTATGTGAAATGCATTGAAACAGTAATGTTTTGCTATGTAATAGTCATTTTAAAAAAAATGACATTTTTTAAAAATTTCAAATTTGCCGCCAGTTCCGGCGCCCGTACGTCCCGACGTCACAGGAACCGGAACAGGGAAGCCGGATGCCGGCATCGGCTGGAGATGGCCGGGGACGCTGCAGGGGGACACATCGCGGGGAGTGAAGGACAAGGTAAGTGCTGCAGGGACTCCCTGAGCAACGCCGCATGGTAAGCCCGAGTGTAGCTCGGGGTTACCACTTTTGGTACTGACATTTTACCCCGAGCTACACTCGGGAATACCGCTAAGGAGGTTAAGGTAAATGTCTTGGAATGGTGTAGTTGAATCCCAGACCCCAATCCAGATCAGAATCTGTGGCATGACGTGAATGAGCTGGAGCTGTTTTGACTTGAAGAATGGGAAAAAAATCTCAGTGCTAAGCTAATAGTAATATACCCCAAAAGACT